GGTTGGAGAATGCAAAAACGTACATCTTGCATCTTCGTAACACTAATCTCCTGTTCTCTCTTGTTACAGCCCCCCGCTACTCATGCACGGGCAGCACCCCGAACAACCTTCTGCCCATCAGCTTCCACACTGTGCACGATGACAACGTAAGGATCTCGAGAGACGGCAGCACTGCAAGACGGGTTGAGTCCTTCTGCAAGGATATAGCGTTCAGCATCAGACCTGTACGGGTTAACGAGAAGGTGAGATATTTAAGATATTTTCACTATGATAATTACAGTTCTTTTAGAAGCGTTATAAAGGGTTATATGTAAAACAGTAACAGCCTGCCACTGTATTACTAACATCACAAACAACAACTTTTGTTCCATGACTTTTTACAAAACATAATTTAACAAAAATAAACTTTTCTAGTTGGCAAAACAAAATTCTATATGTGTGTAGTAAATATCTAATAATCGGCTCGAAATCTTAGAACTAGAATGATAGTGTGTGTTAGTTCTTCTTCTTTTTATGAACATGGCAGGCTGTAGCAGAATATCAGCGGCGTTGTGCAACACTCCGCCATTGTGCTGAGCTACAGACCTTTTTATCTTACACCACTCTTGTTACTAAATACTGCGTAGAGCTTTATATACATTTATTTTAACTTATTAATGCGTGGAGATATATAAACGATTTTATTATTATTATTCACATGGTTAGGCGCTGCGCAGACGGAGCAACTTTGATCATCGAGTTTCGACAACTGGCAACCCGCAATTTTATGACGTTTTTCATTTATCATATAATTTTAAGAAGCAGCGCAGACTACAACTACGGTTTTCGATTGCCGAAATACTTGATCAAATAAATTCTTAATTGCCGCAACTAGAAACTTGCAAATTTGTACCGGTTGTCTCAAGTTGCCAGTTTCCGCAACCGGCAACCGTGTACTTCACTTCTCTCCCCCTCCCCCGCAGCGCCAGTCTTGGCCGTGGATTTCGAAACGAAAACTTGTAAAAAGTTGCCAGTTGCGTCAACTAAAATTGCTCCATCTGCAGAGCGCCTTATTTGTATTCGCGTGTTTGCTACATTTGGCAAGCAATTGCCTTGTGTACATAGCGTATGTGACTAAGCAAAGACCAAACTCGCGTTACCGCGCGCTGTTCGTCTTCTCGGCGTACCACAAAGGAGTCAAATAGGCAAATACGCTAGTAAACCGTCCACACTACGGTCAACATTCATTATTTTAGCTCGTTATTTGACTCATTTGTAGGCGGTCATGCAAGTTTGTCTGTAAGTCAAATATTTTTCCAAGTTATAATAATACAGCTACGAATACAGGTAGCTATGTCAAGTGCCTCCATTAAGTTTTGTATGTCCTTGACTTTTAGATCTGTAGTTGGTAATAAGATAGTAAGTTCAAACGTGTAAGCATCCCGTCTCCCGCACAATTTTCACCGTTTATAGCGATCTATGTGCCTCATAAGGCTCAAGGTCACTCAGCGGGCAATGGAGAGAGCGATGCTCGGTATTTCCCTGCGTGATAGAATCAGAAATGAGGAAATCCGTAGGAGAACTAAGGTAACCGACATAGCTCGAAGAATTGCTCAGCTGAAGTGGCAGTGGGCGGGGCACATAGCTAGGAGAACCGATGGCCGTTGGGGCGGAAAGGTTCTTCAATGGCGACCGCGCACCGGACGACGCTCAGTGGGTAGGCCCCCCACCAGGTGGACCGACGATCTGGTGGAGGTCGCGGGAAGCCGATGGATGCGGGCAGCGCAGGACCGATCGTCGTGGAGATCGTTGGGGGAGGCCTATGCCCAGCAGTGGGCGTCGTATGGCTGAATGATGATAGCGATCTATTTAAATATTTTTATATTTGTGCGAAAGTGGATTTGATGACTAATTAAAAGTCGTGGAAAAAAAGTTGTTGCATGATGTTAGAGAAGCTCAAATGAAGTTGAGGCAAAAGAATACCGTGCCGAAGTTATTTAGATCATAATATATTAAGTTCTTAGATTTACGCGACTGTTACACAATTAGGGAATGAAGCTTTTTTTCGTATCTAAATCGAAGCAAAACTAATTTATTTCTAATTTTCTTTTAGAAATTCATATTGTTAAAAGTTAAAATGAAATATTTTGCAAAGCATATGGCGTAGTTAGAATGTTTTATGGTTAATAAAAAAAAAGTTATATAACTTTTGTAAGTGCACAAAATGTACAAAAGATGTGAGTGACACTAGAGTCATTTCGTATATTAAAGTCTTATTTTTAAGATAGTGGGCGTGATATCGATTTTTGGGCATACCAGCTAATTTCGCAAGATTGGATGCTTCTCAATCTTTTCCGAAAGTACTTAAAATGGGCTTAAACACGTAACATTAACAATTTTCATAATAAATTGTTCACCCTGTACAAGCATACAGTCCATACTTTAAGCTTAATTCCCTTTTTTCATCTATTCCAGGTCTACGTCCGTTTCGTCGAGATATCAAACAGCAGGAGTAGCGTGATCCGCTTCGGGTTCACCAACCACGACCCCGCCACCCTCGTTCATTCCCTCTCCAATTATGCCTGTCCAGATCTTACGAACGAACCTGAACGAAACTGGGCCAAAGCCCTGGGTGAAAGATTCTGCGAAAAAGACAATGTCTTGTACTACTACGTAAATTCTGCTGGAGATGTGCACTTCGGGATCAATGGGAAAGACAAGGGACTATTTTTCTCTGGAGTCGATGTAAGAAATCCCCTCTGGGCTTTGATAGATGTCTACGGCAATTGTACTGCTCTGCAATTTGCTGACCCGAGAGCTCCAAACCAAATCAGGAGGTCAAATCCAAGTCTAGAGGAAGAAAGAATTGTTTCCGGAATGAGATCTCTCACAGTCGACGAAGCTTTACCTATTCCGAGCTATCGGAATCCGTTAGTACCTCTCAGTCTGCACAGAACTAAAGGAAGAAACGTTCAATTCGTCAGCGACAGAGGTGTTGCTGCTAGAGCAGAATCAGAATTCTGTCAAGGATATGTCTTTACTGCCAGACCTATGCGTCCGGGACAAACAATTGTCGCCCAGATCCTTTGCACCGATATAGCGTATACAGGAAGTCTGGCTATCGGTCTGACATGCTGCGATCCTGGTACTTTGCGTCCCTGTGATCTACCTGATAATGCGGAACAACTCCACGACCGTCCTGAATACTGGGATGTAAAGAGAAATCTGGCGAACGGTCTCCGAAGAGGCGATGAGCTTGCGGTCACTCTGACTATCGATGGAGAAGTCAGGGTCAGCAGAAACGGATCGAACCCTATATCAATGATGCATGTGGACCATACTTTGCGACTTTGGGCGTTTGTGGATATATACGGTGCGACCCAAAAAGTCAGAATGTTAACGAATCAATTGCCAGCTCAATCGCCACAGCTGTGGAGAGTAATGCAAGCTCCCATTGCAGCCAGTGCTGGCGGTACAGCTCTGGTTGTCAGTCTCCCACCTCAGAATAACAATGTCAACGTCAATCAGCAAGGACATACTTTGGCCAGCGCACATTATGTTGAGGTGAGTTCAGTTTCATGTTTACCGTAGAGCTGAAATAACCTTATAACAAAACTTCCTGAAAAATCCCTGGTATTCTTGACGGGAATAACAAGTCGTACGCCTGGTGGTAAGCGGCACGCCTGTCCATGACAATTGCAGGACCACTCACAAGCTTTAAGTCACAAAGATCTGAGGGGCACTGCCACTGCACCCGTCATCTTGTGACCTTCAAAACCGAAACGCAGTAATGCTTAACTCTTAACATGTTTTAACTGTTATGGAGAAAATCATGAGAAAACCTTAGATAATCATATCACAATAGTTGACAGTTTTATCAATAATGTGTGGATATTATCGTGAAAGGACATAAAAATTATCAGAAACACGTGTATTGTGAATGTTATAACGATCTAATGTGATTATTAGCTGCGTTATCACTTTATTCTTATTTTGATAGTTGGCTTACTGATATCAAAATCAATTCGTGTAGTACATGATAAGATAAGTCTATTTTTACATTAATTCAAAGTTTATCGATTTTCACACATTGTTCTTCTTCTTCTTGGGGTTCCGCACCTATCGGAGGTTGGACAACATCATGGCAATCCTGACTTTAGAGGCTGTCGCTGTAAAGTGCGACGTGGTATTGCACTCGAACCAATCCTCAAATTATAGAATTTTTATAATTATATTTTGGCTAAAGATCCAAGAATGAGTGAATTTTTCCTTCTTGTTCCCGATGACGAGGCCGAAGTACGACATCTTCCTGCACTTAATGGTGTTCATAAGCTCCCCTTTTTTCTTCAGTTTATTGAGGACTTCTACATTTGTAACCCGGTTACGCCATGAAATTCTCAAAATGTGGCGGTAAGCCGTAATCTCAAAAATCTTTATTTTTCCCAAATTATTTGTTTTTAAATCGGGAATTAATCGTGTATAAAATAAATTATATTTACCTTGACATTTCGCACGTGGTATTTGTACCTAACTTCACGCAGTACTTATTTAGTTGTGGCAGTTGTGTGGTACTACTTTAGTACTAATACCATATTGGACCGCCCTATGGTATTCACGCCTAACTTCGTACTGCCACCTCAAACGTAGTTAAACTCATGGTACCAATTTGTAAGTCAATGGTACCACGACTTCATTTAACAAAGGCAAACGATTCTTTTATGGGGAACTGTATACGCTTTTACAATAAGATTCCGGAGTATATGTCAAGATTATAATTTCCTAAGTTTAAAAATACTTTAAAATTTTATTTTAATTGAAATGTCATATTACAAAATTGAAGACCACGTGTTAGATAGATTCCACACAAATTTGATTTGTACTCCATAGCATTTAAGTTTATTTGAAAACAGCAATCCCTAGAGTTTCTCTCAGGGAAGTCTGACATTTTAAAGTGTAATTTATTTTACCTATGATTCTTTGACTTTGCAAATAAAGTAACAATATTTCTTCCCTCTTTCCAGCCAATCCAAACATCGTCCCAGCTCTGTCTCACCGGTCTACCGCCGCAGAACTGCCAACCATATCGTCGCACTGAATGCAGCAACCAGAACAGCGTCAACGAGGCTTTACCATGCAATAAAGCACAAAGTTGCAACAATATCCCACCAATCTGCAACGCTGTTGCACCAAGTTGCAATAGCGTAGTACCAAGTTGCAATAACGTGGTACCAAGTTGCACCAATCAAATTAATGGTGATATCCGTGACAGGTTAGGACCGGTACGCCCGCATGCAAGTCGCAACATGCCGTCTACGTCTCAAAATATTTACCCAATCGGAGAAGGTTTGGCGGCCACGGAGTGTTCAATCTGTTATGAAAACCCTATAGATAGCGTCCTGTACGCGTGTGGCCATATGTGTATGTGTCACAGATGTGCAGCACAACTGCGGAGGGGCAAGAGGGGTGGCCAATGCCCTCTGTGTAGAGCACAAATCAAAGACGTCATTCGTATTTATAGATAACTTTTGATAATTTCTGCGACGATTTTGATAATTTTTGTACCGAGCTCGCAAGGGCTACAACATACTGTATTTACTTTTACTATCAAAATGTTATATCTATCATAGATCTTGACATACTACAATATACTACTAAATAAAAAAAATAAAAAAAACCGACCTCAAAAGTTTGTGGAATTACATCTATTTGCCAAGTTTTATTGAAGTCGGTTACCGGAAAGTGCATGAAACCGGATTCTTCCCCTAGTTAGCCACCGTTGGAGGTGGAATATTTTCATGAAATTTAAATGGGACCAACACTGGTACTAGTGGTAGGTACCCGACAAAAAAGAAACAACAAAATTGGTTCACAAATTTGTTTGCCGGAGTTATCGCGTAACATACATAGAAAAAAAAACAAAGATCCGACAAACAAGGACATGGAACAATTCATGAGGTCCGCTGGTGGTATTACAGGGTGCAAGAGAAGTGGGTTTGAACCTGGGCTCGCACCTCTGGTTGTTCGGAATTAATATGCAAAATTTAATTTGAAATTTACCATGAGCTTTTTGGTTGGAAACCTGCACGTCGAAGAAGGTTCACAACCTTCCGAAAACATGTGACGTTCCCAATCGGGACGTATAAATGGATTGATGATGAGAAAGGGGCTAGTAAATTCACACAAACCCTTACACCTTTTGTCGCTCCTGTAGTCAACGACAGAGAGGTTATAGAGGATTTAAAAAAATCTGTGTGATTCTGTCACACATTTTTCATCGAATATTATTATAGTAATTAATCGTATTTGTATTTTGCTAATGTAAATAGTAATTTTAACATTTGTCATAAGTCTTTTTTTTTTAAGATTGTCGTCACAGAATCCTAACTAAATCTAATTTTTGTAAATATAGTTAAGATAATTTATGTTTTTCCATATTATCAAGTGCGTGGCGTAAAATTATTTATAATCATTCCAAAAAAAATTGTATAATTTTTCTGCGCTCCAAAAACATAATAGTAAAATTTTTAAAAATGCCAGTTATTTTTTGCCAAATTGTTTTTTTTCTACAATTTTTTATTTATATGTAAATCGAGCAGTCTATAAAAAAATTAATTTCATAAAGCATTACTGAAAAAAAGGGATTTGTACAAATTGTTTTACGTAACACTTTTTTTTCAAAATGGCCGCTTTTGGGATTTAAAAAACCTTGTATTTTTTAAAATTAAATAATAAACCAATAATTTACTTTAATATTTTATGTGATACGATTTTTCTTTTTACGTATTTTTTTTATGAAATAGTATGTTCAATTATTTGGCACCCACATGTCAATTATTAACATGGTCTTTGCATTAAAGAGCGCAAAAGTAAAACACGAATTTGTTGTACCATCATAATATTAATCCAGAAAATTTGCCGTGTTTTGGGCTCTCGTTCCGCTCTGTGAAAACTCATTATTTAGCATGCCAATTATTGACATGGGGGCCAATAATTAAACCTTTTTCTACACTGTACAGCGTTGTCATCTAGTCGTTAGTTATTCTAATTTATTTTGATTTAAAAATCTTCATACGAAGTTGGAAATAGATTAAGTTTTCAAAAATTAAAAAATGGTTATCATTATTTTTTAATTTTATTTATACAAGACATCTCTTTGAATCGTTTTGAATAAAGCCGGGTCCGCGCTAGCGAGCTGTTAACCGTAACCGATGCATGTTACTAAATATCATAGTGTGTACGTGGTTCACGAGCTCGCCAGGAGCAGAAAATGCACTAGAACATTGTTACTGTATCTGTCATATCACAATGTAGACGCTAGTAATTCTTCAGATCTAGTAAGGCTTAAGATCTATTTCAGGGTAGTTTTCATGTAAGTTTTTTGTACTCAATTTTGGTGACAATTTCTTTTTAATTAAATAGTTAAGAATATGAATAATAATACTATTTAATATTAGAGTGTGGTAACCTGAAATATTTTTTTAAATTTCATGACGGTATATTCGAGTAATTAAATAATAAAAATTCAGTACAAAACTCAATTTTGGTAACGAACTTACCTGAAAATTACTTTTTACCTTGTAGTGGGTCTTTTTCGCGCAAGGTCTTTTTTACGCATGGGTTGTTTCACTTGTTTTTTCGTAACGTAAGCCATATGTCTGTCTTGATTTTTGAGATGCCAAAGCGCCCGACACCCTGAGACATAAGTGGACAAGACCCATGTGCCTGTAACTTCACCAGCACCCTTACCTTTCAAAACCGGAACGCAGTAATTCTCACATTACTGCTTGGCGGCAACAAGGAGACAGTGAACGGTATTGAAAAGGTCAAAGAGGTAAAAACCAAGGAACCACATACAGCGGTTTTAGTTTTAATAGCAAGAGGACTTTTTAATAAATGGAGTCAGCCCCTGGCCTTTTGTCTTGCAGGTCAGATTAGGCCCACAAAAGAGCTTTTGAAATGGGTTGATGAAACCATAAGTAAAGTTATGGAATTAGGCTACGATATCGTAGGTTTTACGTCAAGTCAGGCAACTACATGCATAAGAATTGCAAGCGAAAGAAATATATCTCCCATTCAGCCATTCTTTTACATCAACAACAAGAAGATCCACTACTTCTTCGTCTTACTAAGTCTTATGAGTAACATAGGAAATGTTTTTATGGACAACAATTTCGTATACGTTGACTGTAACGGGACACAACGCATAGCATCGTGGACAGACATTGAAAATCTATACGCGATAGAAAAAGAGAGACCGTACCAAATTGCTTACCGTCTAGCTATGCCCCATATCAAACCAAACTTAGCTGAAAAGCAGAAATTGAAATATGCTCTCCAACTTTTCAGTAAATCGGTTTCAGTTGCCATGCTATCACTTATAGCGTCAAACATTATGCCAGAATCTGCAATCGGCACAGCGAAGTTCATAGAACTAATGAATGATCTATTTGACATCTTAAACTCTTTGCCATTTTGTGAAACTAATATCTACAAACAAACGTTCGTTTGTAAAGATTATCAAGTAGAATTACTGAATAATGCCATATATTTCCTGGATACCGTGATAGTTACCTATCGGGTAAATGGGAAGGAAGTAACTGATGGAGTGCAATGTTTGAAACAGTTACAAGTGACAGTTAAATCTGTCTTAAACTTATCTCTTGAGTTGCAAATTAAAGATGCAGCTAACCGACTGTACACTCGTCGACTAAACCAAGAAGCGACATTAAGATTTTTTGCGGCTATCAGACGAGGTGCGGGCAATTCCAATGAGCCGAAGCCACATCAGTTTATTTTTGGATTTAAGAATATATCTGAAAATCCACATCAAGTGTATTAATGAGTCCAAGCCATCCAAACTCTGATGCACCAGAAGACAAGCTCGCCGAAACGATTGGATGTACGCCTCTCGAACCAAAATTGTCAAAGGTTCTAGTTAATTTCTACATAGTTTTTTTTTAAAACGGTTCCAAAATGGCCGCTATGCAAGATTGAGTTCTATATTTAAGGAACTATGTTAGATGCAGTTTACAGAAATAACTTTAAAATTAACTTTAGTATACTGCAAAAATACAACTCACGCTTTATTGATACGGTAGGTTTTTCTATCGATTCTTGCTAGAATATGTCTAACCAAAGATATTATACCCACGTAAAATCATTTGGCTACACAAAGTTAAAATACTGTTTTTTTTAGTTTTACAATCTAATTTCTTTAATTTATTTCATGTTATTTTCATGACTTCCACGTGAAAAAATACTTTTGACGTATCAAATGTGGATTTATTCGCTTCTGGCCCGTGGACCACCTGACTGGTTCACTTGGGTGGACCACGGACAATTATTTCTACCCATGGGCCACTTATACTGCAGGAAGAATGGAATGAATGAATGTAAATTATTTTAATTTAAAGAATCGAAATTTATTTTTGTTAAAAATCATTCAAAATGTATTTTTTTCCTTGTAAATGTATTAAATATTTACTAAAATAGATATTGTGTTTTATTTGCTTTTTCCTACGATAGGTTTTCAATGTGACAAAGTGTAGGTAGCTTATTCCAGCTTGACGATAATCGAGTATTTGAAATTTTTTTATTAGGAGAGCGTTCCTCCAGGTAAGTATTGTTTGCTTTGAAGGGTGTAATTACAGGCACATGAGACTTCTCAATTTATGTCTCAGGGCGACGGTGACAGCCGCAGTGGCAGTGTCGTTTACCATCAGGCGCACGACTTGTTCGTCCTGTCACTTGGTGTAAGTCAATGCTTGGTGTCATATAAAAGATTGTCTAGACAGGTACAACAGTTTAAAAAGAAGAAAAAAAACAAAAAAAAAAGGTACAATAGTTTTAAAGTTATGTAGATTTAGCATTTGAAATAATAATTGTTCAATAAAAGCTTGACTAATAGAAAGTAAAACTAGGATTTTTAAATTATGTGAATAAAATTGGGTCCCCGCGGCAAGGTGCCCAAGATGCTGGCAGCGGTCCCCCTTTGTATTGCTATGCTAATGCGTTGGGCAAGGTAGTTGCCGGCCCTTGGGTTTCCGACAGTCTTCATTTTTTCGATAAAACTTTGTACAGATGAAGGGCACTGGGACCCCACGGGCCAAGGTTTTCGACTCCAAAGGCTGTAAATAGGTAGTCGGAGTGTGCTGGAGATGGGATGGGGCAAGTGTGTCGGCACATGCGGCGTCCCGCACCAGTGCCCGGCCCATACTCCAAGGGATGAGAGTAAAATAATTAAATAAAAAAATTCAAATACTCGATTATGGTCAAGCTGGAATAAATAAATATTCTGAACATAGCGATAAGCAAGAAGTAACATCTGTGCATCCATTTCGACATTAACAAAACACACTGGGTTGTTAAGCTAGGCGCGCGGCGATACTTGCAGCCAGTCTATCGCAATCCACTGCTGAATATACAACCTTTCACAGACGGTCACTCCATCTGGCCAGAGAGCCTTCTACACTACGTTTGTCGAGCCGTGGTCTCCACTCAAGAACTCGCTTCCCCCATCAGTTGTCGGTTCTTCGACAGATATAGCCAGCCCACTGCGGCTTCAGCTTGCTTATTCTACCAGCAAGAAGGGTGTTTCAAATCTATATACATGTACAGATATAAGGGAAGTACTGCCACCTTACCTATTTCTGCCGCCATGCAGCAATGTGAATATTACAGGCACACGCCTTATTC